ATATTTATGTGCATAAATTATTTATAATATAAACTGTTATTATTCTGGAAGTTTGTGTGTGAATTGGAACAAAAGAAATTTGTCAAAATTTATATAACATCGGTCATGTAAAATTATTAAATGCTATTCAAATTCAACAGTATAAATAATCTGATTTAAAACGTCAAGAGGAAAAAACACGCATAATAAATATTTGGAATGTGATTTTTTTAAGCTAATATTTTCAAAATTTTAATCAACAGGGCTCATAGTTCCAGGATCCAATTCACAGTTATTACGTATTTTGTTTCATAAAGGTTGCAATATACATATTATAAATTATTTTCATTGGATTAAATTAACTGTTTTTGGTTATAACGCATTCTAAAATTTTCTGTTACCTCACAGTATGCATATAGATATGTCACATCCTTTTGGAATTTTAACGAGTACCGAAATTAATTCATTGATAAATAATCTATAAATACAAGACGATCAGCTTATTTGGCTTAGTGTAACAAGAACGTCGTTGTACCAATCAAATAACTACATTTAAATATAACAATAGTTGCTTTTTCATTAGACTGGAAATGTTTGAAAAACGAAAATGTGGTACTGGTGGCGGAAATGAACAAACCATGGATTATAATCTGAAAGGAGGAAGAATGATATCAGATCCTTTACAAGGAGAAGAAATTGTTATATCAGGTACGCTAAATATCCTTTCCAATTCATTCGTCACATCTGTATTTGTTTCTCAGGTTTATCCGGCGCTTTTCCAAATTCGATGAACGTCAACGAATTTAAAGAAAACTTATTTAATAAGGTAAATATGGTAACGCCAAATCGAAGATGGGACTATGACCACCCCGAAATGCCAACACGTTCTGGGACTATTCCTGAAATCGACAAATACGATTCTGGATATTTTGGTATGTGTAATAATAATCAATTTTTTAATATAACTTCTTCCGTTACATAATACTCAAAATATGAAGTAGTACATACAGGTTCTAGTCGGGAGCGCCTCAAGGATCTGTTTTGGGCCCGTTGCTGCACTTTATATTCTCATATGATATTGATGAGAACGTAACTATTCTTGTCTTCCCATATCTCCAACATTGTCTCCCAAACTCTCTTCCCTCCTGTTCAGTGCATATATTGCACCTACTTTAGAAGGAATATAATGTGATCACAATATTTAATTAAAAACATTGGAGAAAAAGCTACCAGACAAGTAACCATTTCGATTTGATTCACTCAGATTAGAGGATTATTCTTTTCCAGTTCTTTAACAAATATTCAGCTGCTTCTTTTGGTAAAGCTAAGTTGCAAATAAAATAATTTAGCTCGCCCTGATTAAATTCCCACGTTATATATTCACCTTCACTAACCACTTCGTGTCATCATCTCCCTTATTCGTAGTGATTCTCATTTTCCTCTTTATCTTCCTCTCGAACGGTTTGGTTTCTTCGTTTTCCATCCCTAGACTTACAAAATTATTTCCTGCGAAATGCCTACACATATTTGCACACTATTCAAACCTTTATGGAAACGATATTATCTCGAAGATGAATTACTTCTTTTCCCATTCCAGGTGTACATGAGAGACAATCTCATTCTCTGGATACGATGACTAGTCTTCTTCAAGAAAGAACGATCGAGGCTATCTTTGATGCAGGAATGCACCCTTCAGATCTCGAAGGCACCAACACTGGTGTTTTCGTTGGGTCATGCTTCAGTGAGAACGACAAGGTGTGGTACTGGGATAATATGGCGAGTCAAACTTACGCAGTGACGGGGTGAGTATGAAAAAAGCCTATCGATTTGTCCTCCACCGATAAATACTTGATGTGTTGCAGATCGGAGCGATCCATGATGGCACATCGGCTCAGTTACTTTTTAAAACTGAAAGGGCCGTCATATAGATTAGACTCTGCTTGCAGCAGTTCTTTGTACGCTCTGGAGCACGCATATAGGGCTATTCGGCTTGGAGAAGTCGACGCTGCAATTGTGGCCGGTACACAACTTTGTTTACATCCTTTCGTGACAATGCAGTTTTCAAGGTAAAATAAACAAAACTGTTAAAATAATATTCTTTTAATTAAAGTGTAAATTTTTTCAAGGTTGGGAGTTTTAAGTCACGACGGCGTATGCAAATGTTTCGACGCTCGAGGTGATGGCTATGCGAGATCAGAAGCGGTCATTTCTGTAGTCCTACAAAAATCTAAATCTGCTAAAAGGGCCTACGGGCAACTGGTCCACATCGGAACAAACTCCGATGGATACAAAGAGCAAGGCATAACATTTCCATCGGCTCCCGCTCAAATAGATCTACTGACCGAATTTTATAATCAATGCGACGTAGACAAGTGCAGTTTGAGCTATCTAGAGNTTTTATAATCAATGCGACGTAGACAAGTGCAGTTTGAGCTATCTAGAGGCTCACGGAACTTGTGAGTAATCCTTGGAAAAAACGTTTAATTGTAACTGTAATGTGGCTGTTTCTCCAGCTACTGTCGTTGGTGATCCAGAAGAGTGTTATGCTATCGACACGGTCTTTACGAAGCATCGAAAACAACCACTGCTGATTGGTTCAGTCAAATCCAATATTGGGCACTCAGAAGCTGCTTCGGGTCTATGTTCTATCACAAAAGTTGGTTTTAAATTTATATGTTATTTCCCAAAAAAACATAAACCTAAAGATATCATTAGGATATCTGGTGGGATATACTCCATGTCCCAAGGATATATATTTAAATGTTGTGCCATGTTATCTTTCGGACATCCTAGGGGTATATTGTTACAAATCCTCCAGGTGTCCCACGACTACGAGTATATGCTATCCTTGGGACAGTCTGATGATGTCTGAATATTATTGCAGATATACATACATTAACGGAATATCCTGGGGATAACTGATGCTATCTAGGTTTATACATTTTGCAATAAATACTGTAAAATGGAAAAACGATTTCAGTCTATCTGTAAATTATGTTGCAGTGTATAATAGCAATGGAATCCGGCTTTATTCCACCAAACCTCAACTTTACTACACCCAGAAAAGAAATAAAAGGAATTGTAGAAGGTAGGATGAAGGTGGTCGTAGATAAAATGCCATTTGAGGATGATAGGAGCTTGATAGGTAACTTGGCATCAGCAACATTTTTTTTTACTTCAGTAGGTTTATAAATGAGATATTAAGTTACTTATGCTTTTGCATTTGATAAATTCAGGCGTTAGCAGTTTCGGGTTTGGTGGCAGTAACTGTCACGTGCTGCTCAAAAGGAACCCGAAAGAAAAAATTAATAAAGGATTACCGGAAGATAACCTTCCAAGGTTGGTTTGTGTGAGTGGAAGAACAACTGAGGCTGTAAACGCTTTACTGGATGCTGTTTCTCGCAATGGACTGGACGCCGAGTTTGTTGGATTACTACATGAAGGATATAGGTAAATTGTTTGAGAATGTCACTTAAATCCAACAAATCTAATCAGTATGACACTAATTTTTTGGTTTGTAGAAGAAATGTGGAGGATCATTTGTATAGAGGCTACGCAATAGTAACAAAGACAGGAGAGATTAGTAGGTCCTTGAAATGTTCTCCGGGGTCTTGTAAACCCCTTTATATTGTTTTTGGAGAATTGGATAATTGGCGTAACATCGGGCACCAATTGATGGTTTTGCCCACTTTTTCTGCTTTCATTCAAAGGTAATGGCGACAAATATCACGCCAATACGTGGCAAGAGAATATGTTTTTACATTAAACCGTTTTGCTTTGTTCTCTTGGCAGTAAAGCCCTGAAATAATCTTCAAATTTACTAGTGATAAGTTATTATCAATATTGTGACTTTACGCTTTCACTTATTTTGTAGAAAAAATACAATATACAAAATTCGTTTCTTTATATGTTCCGCAAAGGATAAAACCATTACTTTATTGGCGATATTTATCTTTTTAGGTTACAAAATAATCTATCGACTAAAGGAGTCCACATCTGGGATTTGTTACTTAATAGGAGAGTTGGAGAAAAAAATAGCAGTCAAGTGTTGGGCAGTATTGTGGTACAAGCTGGTATAATAGAGGTTCTGAATTTATTATGCATAAAACCAAAGGCTTACCTAAGTTATTCTTTTGGAGGGTTACTTTCTTCATACTGCAATGATCTTCTATCTTTAGAAGAAACTGTTAATTGTGCTTTGGTTATAGATGAGGCTGTAAATAACAACAACAACAACAACAACTTTCTTCATACTGCAATGATCTTCTATCTTTAGAAGAAACTGTTAATTGTGCTTTGGTTATAGATGAGGCTGTAAATAACAACAACAACAACAACAGCAAT